TACACAATAAAATTGTATATTTGAAAGATCTTTTACGAGATGTCTCTGTATAGCAAAATTACTAATTAAGTATATAATCTACGACATTTCCAATCATGTTCCAGTTCGATTCGTCTTCAGGTACAAAAGTGTTGTTTTAAGGGATGTGACCCTTAAGGACCGATCTAGCAAAATTCATAATGTTTGGAAATATGTATATGGAAAATTTGGTATGCACCGTCACCTGGTTAAGGCCTAAATAGTTTTGAACTTGACTAGAGCATGAAATATTGCTTTCTAAAGTGCATAGCATGGCGCGTTTATTTGTAAAACTGAAAACGCCTTCAAACGACAAACCTTGCAACGCATGTCTGCTAGTTGCAGAGAGCGAGACGCGAACCCCACGTTTGCGCGGTTCCTTCATCTACCTTAGACCTGCTCTACAGTCTCCTGCTGTGTGAGGGCCTGGAACTGACCCGGGAGTCCGCTCCGGTAGGTTGAGGTGGTGGTGCTGCCCGCTACTCGCCATTGATATCCTTCCGCGACTGAGGTGTCCCACCTCTTGAGTCTGCTAGGCTGGATGAAGATTATTGAGATATCCGCAATAGTCCACGAAAAAATGTTTACCTCCATAGAAAGTGCTCAGAGAAAAAGGAAAATTAAGGAATCAGGGGCACACTATCAGTTCGGCCTAAACATATACGCCTCGGCAAACCGCAGGTCCGTAAACGGACCACTGATCATTAAGATCTTATTCACCAGCCATAATGCAAGAACGATATCTACAAAGGGATTACCGGCGCCCATATCACGGAAACAGAGAAAATCGATGAGGACGTTGGAATATGCTAGACCCGAAGGTCTACCGAGCTTGCTGCGCGGTGGAGCAGCAGTGACCATGATTTGTTCGGAAGGGCCTTCGAGAACCCAGCTCGGACGGCGACATTCGGGTTATAACAAAAGGGAAAGCTGTGCTTCTTGTAGGGAGATGTGATATTATATAAATCTGTCTAGCAATTCTACTTTAACACATTGATATAATAAAAAAAATGAAAGATTTCAAGCATGCAGCCCAACTTCACAGGCTGAAGACGAAGAATCGAGCAATTCTACGATGATGCGAAAGGCACAATTACGAAAGAAGCCACAAACACGATTTAGCCACTGAGTTTATTTGAAAAGGAACGAATGATGCTTAGGCATTTGTCAGCAAATATGGAAAAGGAAAAAAATGAATGTGGAAATCGCTTTTGAACTTTCGCTGAAAACAAGCAATTCCACGACATGAATATCGTCCTCCAGAAAACTCAAAAGCAAAACAGGACATGGAGAAGCCCAAAAGGAAAGC